ACGAAAAGAATGCACTTTACCGAGGGAGTGGTATGGTATTAGTTTTGATCAATCACGTTGTGAGGCTCTTGTGTTTGACCCAACAGTAAGTCATCTTAAGTGACTCCCTTCCAGCTCAATTGGTTGTTGTGGTCTGCAGTTTGCTAATTGTTTTGCTGCTTTTTATAGGCGGATATGTCTTTCAATTGACTTTTTCAATTGTTGAATGAATTTATTTTACATTAAAGTGTCTGATGAACCGGGTGGGAAGTCCGACCCCTATAGGCTGTAGTTCCACTCGTAGTTCTGCACCTACTCCGACTTGTCACGGTCTTGGCAAAGGCCCGAAGTGTTGTACCTTCATCTATTAGTTACCTACATCAAGAACTCAAAAAACAGTTCCGTGCAAGCGGAAAAGGAGGGTTTCTTGAAGTTTTATGCGTGTATTTACTGTCCGGAGGAAGGCTCGCAGCGATATATTATCATCTGATCGGGAGGTATAAAGGCCATCATCAGCAAGGGCTGTTCGTAAATATTTTCTTTAAGGGAGTAAGGAGTGAAATCAAGCTGAACTCGCACTGGACAGGCGTCCACGTAGTCGCATTTCTTTGCGAAGCTCAGATCTCGGCTTACGCAGTAGAGCATTGAACGAATTATTTCTAGATACCAACATTTGCCTCATTACGACTATTCCCTCAAGTCCTAGAAATCGAGAAAGTTTATGGCGGCGTTTACTTGAAGCTGCTACAATCGTGAGCACAGTTAACTTAGTAGGTGCCGCTCACCTTTTTGGTGCTGTCGTAAACAGGACTGTCCTAATTCCTTCATCACGTTTTTTACTTACAACTTATTCTTTTTACTGTTTTACCATAAAATATCATCCAACGTTTGTTTAAGTGTTCATTTCGCAGTTCATGGGGCTACTCCTTCCGTGTTAAGTGTTGGTTCTTTGGCATTATGCCTAAACTGTGGGATCTCCAACCTTAGTGCTCGGATCAACTAGTCTTAAAAAATTATTTTTTATGTCCTCTCTGTTCAATCGATTCACTCTAACCTTTTCATCACATTTGGACAAACAGGGGACTGATGACAACCCTCAATGAGAGTTTCTGCATCGCTGAGTGTTACTTATCTGTTGTTAGTAAACACTCTTTGATGTAACTAATTGCGCCACCTAGACAGCGATATTTTTTCCACTTCCTTTTAGACTTCAAAATGTGATCGCTTATTCACAGTTTCCGTTGCAACCCTATAGCTTTTTTTGAGACCAAACATCTGCTATTGAAAATCTTTTTAGGGTTTACAGGGGCATCAGCATCGGTAACCGGGGTTGCATGAGTTACAAAGTCTCATCAACATATAGGGTACTAATCGGTTGCATTTAACAGAATCGTCATGCACACGCTGCATCGTCCACTTTCAACAAAGTGGTGCACTCAAGTTCAACACAACTGCCCAAAATGGAAGTGTTTTCTGTGTGTCCTTTCAATCCAAAGTTAAGGTTGCGCTCACTTCGAAACCTACACCATCCTTCACTAGCGCTACCTCCACTAGGCATTCATTTCCACATGACTTCACAATGATTTTCTGGTTTTTTGATCTTGATTGGCCTCTTTGCAGTTTGCAATATCCGAATTGGGGTAAATAAATGGCTTATATTAACAAAGTATGCGAAAATAGGAGAGACTTGAGGTTACGCAACATTAAACTGATTTTGGGGTGAGCAGAAGACAGTTAAACCTATCCACACGCAAAAACATATTTTCGAATTTGAGGTCAATCATTTCTCTTATTAATGACATTGTGATGTCCGTTGCTGATTCGATTTTAGCAGTTTAGGTTTTCGATTTAGCTGGAATCTTCAATATATCTGTTTTCATTATATTAAATAAGATTTTTACAAATGTTTTTAAGAGAGGAAGGAACGATGTCTTATTTGGCAGGACTTTCGCCATATTGACCCATAACGATGGGAGGATATTGTAGTGACTTTTTAACTACTAATGCATTATCAGCTGCACTGAAACTGTGCAGATGCACCTCGTTATGCATAGACGACGATGGGTGTGCCGTGCATTTGGATGTCACAGTCCTTTACCTGCTAAGAGATGAGTACTTACGACTGTAGAGGCAAATTTTCTTATGTCGAAGCAGGATCGGCATCCCATCGACAAGAAGATGCTATGGTTGCATGACCTCTAACACCACAATATGTCAAGTGGAAGCTATCAGATGACGACGTGAAAGAGAGGCCAATGCTGTCGCTTTCATATTCCCTCTTGATCGTGAAAGCTATGCACTTTAACCCCTAAGCAAACCCAATTAACCTTAATTTCTCGTTAAGACTAGGTAAACCCCTCAATAACGATGTGATAATAGTCCTTATGAGCGCTTAATCACTTACTCTCTTACCTCCCATTCAGCAGGACTGACTCACTTAGTCACCAACTATTCTACTACATCTCGGGCATTTATGGGTCAGAGAGGTACTTTAATTTATTTCAGTACTCTTATTAATGGTTAAAGAAGGAGAGTTGAATGGGGTACTCCGAGCCCAGTGCAGCCAATAGGCAGCTCGACACTTCGCTACAAAACTCTCAACTATCAGCAACAGAAACTATCGCCTCTTCCTTATCTGCCTCCACATTTCGCAATCATTAGAAACCTCATCAACTAGGAGACTCAAGTGACAGCACCTATTGGCCAGTTATTTTAGCTGTCGGAACTGTGGCAATGAGCGCATCGCTGTTCTCCATAGATAAAATTGCAAATGCAGCACGGGCGTTAATGTGATACAGCTGATGCTTTATTTATTTAAATTAAGCTGTTCCCTGTCCCTGCATCAATGCATCAGTCTTTTAAACTTATGCGACGCTCTGGGTCCTTGCAGAAACCGCAACAAGCTCAAGGTATGCGGGAGGAAGAGCGCACTACTTACCGCCGTTTAAGTAACGGACAAGGAGCTTTTAGCATTAACCTTAAGCTAGAGTAGTCCAAATGGTTGACAATATTGTAGTCCTTCTCTTGTCACATCTTCCTTGAATGTTGTATTTACGCTATCGTCAACTTTGGGTCATTTCACTCGGGGCTTACTCAGTGTCGGAGGAAGGGTCCAAATCATCGGTGAGTTGGAAGGTTCCACCATTCACAAGTCAATGCTAGCATGCAAACAAAATATAAGTTTCAAGAACTGCTTGCTTGTACTGAAATTTTCTGTTCTCAATAACGCTTATAAGTAAACGTCGGGATGTGACTTAAATTGAGCTGAAGAAAGTAGCTGCTTAAGCAGAATCAACTTCTTCATTTATGGCCTTTTTATAAAGACAAAGATCTGATAAGGAGATCGTCATAATTTCAATCAATGCAGCTTAGACTTTTGTGAATATCGTTATGATCTGCCCTGACAATGAGGTCGTAGTTGGTCTCACAACGTCGTGTTGTTGTTTCATCAAATCAACTTTTAACGCTAACTTTGACCAATCTCATTGATTGCGTTGGCTGCCGAGAATCGCAATTTAAAAAAAAAACTTTAAATTAAATAACAATAAAACTGGGATTCCTTCGAGTAGAGATTGCACTG